CCATCCATCCATCCATCCATCCATCCATCCATCCATCCACCCACCCATCCGTCCGTCCATCTGATTGATTCATTGATTGATTGACCAAATAATTCGGTTTACTTACAAATTTTTGTGCATTTCTTGTCCAACATCTCGTAACCATTATCATTGCATCTACATTCAAAAGAGCCCTCAGTGTTCACACAGGTGCTGTCAGCAGAACAGTTGTGAGCCCCAATTTTGCATTCATCAATATCTACAACAACAGAAAAGAATACTTGTCGATAACAACAACACGAGTAGCTAAAATATATATCTTAGATCGGACCAAGAAGCACTCCAGTGAAGTAAGGATAAATGTTGGATTTACAGGTGCTAAAAGTCCTCATTTTTGATTCCCAATAATTAGATGACAAAGGTTTCAATATACGTTTCTTGGCTACACATCGCGACAAAACATCGGATACTGCTGGCTCGGTACTGACTCGGTACTTGCTCGGTACTTGCTCGGCCAAACTATGGCAGTAACCTACCAGCGATCGAAGGTAAGTAAGTACTGTCGAGAATAAGGAAATCAAGATGGACCGCGTGCAGTCTAGGTTCTAGAATAGACTCCCTACTTTAAGATATATGGTCTATGTATGAGTGACATAAAAAAGCGCTGCCGATATCCTTGGATAATCCACTTGTGGTCTGAATATTCACCTATGCATGTCTTTCCTTGTGCTTCGTAGCCGGGCTTGCAAATACAGTCAAATGATCCAGCGGTATTGATGCAAGTTTGATTAATGGAACAATTGTGGGAGTCTAGGCCACACTCATCGATGTCTGGAACAAGAAAGAGTATAATATCAAAAAATATATATCACAAGGGCTCGCGAGTCTGGAAAAGGAAGCTTTTTGATCTGTAAGTTAGCCGTGCTCTAATTTAGATCAGGTTGTTTCAGGGTTCAATCTGTAAGTAAGCCATGCCATGACTTTGATCAGCCCAGAGGTTGTTTCAGGTTACTAGATAAAAWTCCAATAGAATGAGGAATTTAACCCGTGAAATAAACTTGAAAAAAGTTAGTTAACGTGTAATAGTCAAATAGACAGTAAAGAAAACGATGGAATTATGGCCTACTGATGTGTATTAGTCTAATATCTATTTCACTGTTTCAAAGACTTCACTCTAAGTTGTCCACTGGATAAGATTTACCCGTCGGATAGCGCTATCCATCCTTCGTACAAGTTGGCCCTGATGTTTGCTTTTTGAATTTTTCAAGGATAAATCAAGAGTTATTTAAGAAATCAAATGGTCAGTTTTGCTTTATTCTAATTTTTGTGCTTTTTCGTTGGTTCGTTGGTGCATTCTAATATTATTTATTTAAGTATCATTGGTAAGTCCCTCTATAAAGAAATGAGAAGGGGGAGGGGGATGTTGTCTTTTGGTTCTCTTGGGTTAATCTGCCCTTATCCATTAGAATACCAAGACCGTTAAACACTACTTAATGTACTGGGATATAGGGATTTTACTTTGCGGCATAATAGCCGATGGAATTTTGAAGACTCAAGATCCTGTCGCACAATATTACGGTGTTCTGAACCTTGAGTATGTAGTAACGATGGGCCTTCCATTACTGTCTTTAGTTGGCTCTATGTCTCTTGACAGCGGTGAACCCGACCACCCTAACTTACAACTACACTGGAAGGTGTACCTCATTCGTCGGGTTTTGTTATCGACGATGACCTAAATAAATAGAAAAGGTCGTTCAACTACACAATGGTGTGGTGTAGTGTGGTGTGGTGTGGTGTGGTGTGGTGTGGTGTGGTGTGGTGTGG